GTCTTCCTTTGGTTCCTGATTTCGGCTTGTTTCTGGTTATTCTAATTTCTGGCTCCTTTGACCCTTGGCTTTGTTTATCGCTTGCTCGTACCTCTCTAACCCTGACCTTAGCTTGTCTGACTAGTCTTATCTCTAAGTTCCTCATGTTAAGTCCGGCCACTTTAAGGTCTGGTAATACGTCTGCTTGTGCTTGCCTTTATTGTTCTCTCATTTGCGTGTTGGGGAGTTCATCCTTGACAGGACACAATTCTAAGTCTATAGATATTATTATTATCGTTTATAAAGGACCAACATACTTATCAGTATGTACAATTGGGAAAAAAAGACAATATAATGTACACAATATACACAGATCAATACAAAAGGAAGACAGGGCCCCCATCCAGAGTGTGTTACAATATGTAAAAAACAGAGTATATGCATAGGATAGTGCAATAAAAATTCAAACATTTTTTTAAAAAGTGGATGTCCAAAGCTACATAGAGGAGAGTAGCTGCCATTTCTCCCTGTGGTTGTTGAATGTACCAAAGTACAAACTTTTAGGAATTAAAAGAAACTGCCCAACAAACACAGTATTTCAAACACAGGCAAAAACATTTCTAAAGAATTTTAGAGATAAAGAATACCAAGAAGAATTAGTAGCAAAATCATATGAAGAAGTAAATGTAGAAGAGAGAGCACCCCTTTTAGAGTATAAACAGAAAATAGATGCAGGTGTTGATAACCAGGTACCTTTTATCTGTAAGAGTCACGTTTTGAAAAGAATTGTAAATAAGTATTGGCATATTTTAAGAGGTGATGAAGTCCTTAGTACTATTTTTTTTTTTTAACTATACTATTCTTCTGGTGAGACCAAAATGATCATAGAGGAGTACCAAATGTAAAGGACAATCTGGTACATAATCATATCAAGTCACAAAGTTGAACAATATGTTTAATGAATCCATAGGTTTTTATGGGTGCGGGGCATGTGGTGTTTACAGGAATACAGGGAGTAAAAAGAGATTCCTAAATGAATTTAGAAACCGCTAAATGAAAAAGAAAAAATACAGAATTAAAGAGTTAATCACCTGCTATTTGAAAAAAGTTAATTATTTAATAGCATGTGTGGATTGGGATATGTGGGTAGGACCTCTAGAACCCTCCAAATCTGAATACAGGAACATGTATGGAATATAAATTAAGACAAATTGAGGGGTGGGGTGGGTGGGGTGGGTGGGGGGGGGGGTTGATTAGGAAAGTGGGAAAATGTGAGATGCAATTTATTTTTACTTTGGGAACTCTATTACCCTATGGCCTGAACAGTGATTTTGAATTATGTCATTTTCTATATACAACTTATTTTTCATAGATGTAACTTGATCATCACAGGCAGGCCCTTTATCACAACTTTCTTATTATTGAGAATGTTTCTGTCAAGTACTTTTAATATTTAATGTATTTTTAAACTATGTATATATTTAACAAGTTGTATCTTTTTCATTAATCCTTTTTTGATGATTTACTTACGGACAGAGACATTGTCAATATACTGTTGTGAAGGGTTTCCCTGTATTCCCTGGCTTCATCCGACTATTTCCTCTCCCTGCTACCTAAATGACTTGGCAGCATTCGTTTTTTCTGTGTGTGTTCGGTAGAGTATTCGTTCTACCGAACAGAGACCACCCTGGGTAGCAATTAGAACATATTACACCATGTTGCAACACAAAACCACAAGGTAATTGATTGCTCCTAGTTGTCCGCCATTCGGCATACGAACACGTGGCGAGAACAAAGGATGGCGTCCATCTTAAACTCCCAAACGAGGCCAGCGGGACTTGGTCGTCAAGTGCCTGGAACTGTTTTCGGCATCGCACTCGCACGAACACCCAGTCTTTATGGAAGTCCCGTCTGACCTATTTCTCCTTGTAGTACAAGACCGGCGTTCAGGGGTTTCAATCAACCGAACGAGGGGAGCATTATCATGTAACCAGCTGCATTCTACCTATAGTGGTTTTCGTGTAATTCTGCACGAACGGAGACCGGCTCTTACTACTAATTTCATGGAACTCTAAATCGGATACAACCGCATGACGAGCAGGTCAAACTTCCACACGATGCGACACAGAAACTACTGAACGGATTTTCGTGAAATTTGCATATGTTACTACCAGTATCCTCCCCAGTATTTTTATATTGTTATATCATATAGAAAGTATATTTCTAAAAATGTTGAACATTATTAATGTTTCTGGCCAGCAGATAATTGAGCTTAGTATGTTGCTGAAACTCAATTATCTAGCCTGGCCCAGAGGAGGAACTTGTACTGTATAAATTGAATGCCTGTTGCTTCCAGTAAATCAGTCTTGTTCCAGCATTAAGCTTTGGCTCATGTGTGGATTATTTGGCGATACCAGCGATATTTGGTCCTGTGGATTCTAGGCGATACTCTGCTTATTGGGAAAAAGGGAATACTGGATGGTGATACAGATTACTACCGTCACAACTATCTATCTGAAATTAATTATATAAGATAGTACACTAATATACATTAAAGAGAGCAAGGAACACAACGTTCCAAGTCCCTGTATAGCCGCCGCACCCACAACCTCAAAACCTCCCCAAAAGGGGGGCAGTGGCTGCAGGGGTCACGCAGAGACCAACGTACCAGTATGAGACTCCAGCTGTCTCAGAGGGGCTTAACCCCAAATATAAACACAAGAACAAAGAAATATGCAGACCGTCTCAATTATATGAATGAAACTTACTGCATTGGCTGGAAAAAATATATCTATGTATAGCGCGATGTTCCAAATATAGAACCTGGCTATTAGAAATAATATGGTCAGAGACCCTAATTAAACAAAGTATATACAAATGAACCTACAATCCTATGCCAGCCCAGGGTGGTATAGATCAATAGGTAGTAAAAAAGATAACCTCACTCCCCCTTATAATTAAGCTTATAATTAAGCTTTATTTTAAAAATCAGTCAAAAACAGACTGATAATTAGCATTAATAAAGCCTCTCTCCCCTTCATACAGATGAATGAGCATTAGCAATCACAGAGGAATAGCCAGGATATTAGAGGCAGCTGGGGAGGTATACACCCCCACACTTCATTGGCTACAAGGTAATCATGCTTCCTGGCAATTGGGGTATTTAAGAGGCTTCTCTTCAGTTATCTGTTGGCCCCTGACGAAGGTGCATCTCTCTGCACCGAAACGTACGTTGGGCGTTTTTTCTGCACTGGGCACAGGTGTTTGGAGCACCATGATCACCATTTAATTTAACTTTATTTTATATCGTTTTCTTCTTTTCTTTCCTATGCCTATCTAGCTAGCTTTACAGGGAGAGAGGCTTTATTAATGCTAATTATCAGTCTGTTTTTGACTGATTTTTTTTACTTCTATTTTCAGTCCTTATCTCTCTCTGTTTTTCTTAATATGTTTCTAGTGTGACCAGGATACTTCCTAGGATGCATGGATTATAGAGACTTAGCTACTGTATACTCCTATCCCTATAGCAGATTACAATAAAGCTTAATTATAAGGGGGAGTGAGGTTATCTTTTTTACTACCTCTTGATCTATACTACCCTGGGCTGGCATAGGATTGTAGGTTCATTTGTATATACTTTGTTTAATTAGGGTCTCTGACCATATTATTTCTAATAGCCAGGTTCTATATTTGGAACATCGCGCTATACATAGATATATTTTTTCCAGTCAATGCAGTAAGTTTCATTCATATAATTGAGACGGTCTGCATATTTCTTTGTTCTTGCACTAATATACATTATTCTAATATATACAGTGGTACCTCGGTTTATGAATTTAATGCATTCTCCAGGACGTTTCTTATTGCGAAACATTTGTAAACCGAAACACGGTTTCCCCTAGGAATGCATTGAAAACCAAGTAATCCATTCTGGAGGTCAGAAAAATGGAACTACAATGCAGAACACACAGTAAAAGGCACAGTAAAAGGCATGCAAACGATGAAGCTCAGCTCCCTACCTTTCCACCATTTGAGAAATGCACCAAAAAAGTTCCAAAAAGTCCAAAAGTCCTTAAACCTCTGCAAAATATTTTCAGACTGGCTCCAAAACTTGATTTAAAAGCCGCTCCAACACCTCCATACTCGATGCCACGTGCTACCCACAGACTCCAGCATGCACGCGGGTGTGGGGGTGGTGCAATAAACCTCCCAGGCTCAATGCATCCTGGAGAAAACAGACGAACGGCCGACATCCCCCAGTAACTAGGAGCCTTATTGGATGAAGACTTTTCCTGTGAACCAATGGGACACAACACCGGGGATATTTAAAAAATGGAAGGAAGCAGCTGGAACTACACACCGTTTGAGAAAGATCTGGGTGAAACACGTCTTGGACAGAGGAGCCTACAGTGGACATTTTAAGTGTTCATATGATTTTGTTTGATTTATTCTGCTACATTTGTTTGTTTTTGTGACAGACCTTCAGGTCACCTATACCAGCAGAAGTTTCCATAACTGTCACCCTATTTTCACCCTCCACCCTGTGTCTCCCGAGCCACACAGACTTGTTCACTGCATCAAGAGCAGCCTAGTCTAACCAGGAAGACACAATACACTAGACCGGGAGTAGCTCTGAAATCTTATGGAACTCTATATCGGATCGCGGAGTGCGGGTTCAGGGTGTGTGTAATGTAATTGTGTTAGTGTTAAATGTTGGTGTGCTCTCCTGTCTTGCTAATGCTTGCAATCAACTAGATGGATTTGGCTGTGGAGCCTGTATGCACTACCTGAATGCCTGCTTCCAAATAAGGGTGGTGCCCTCTTAATAGGAACCTAAGTGAATATACCCAGAGACAGGTTCCAGTGGCTCTGAAAAGGTGAGCAATCATTTGCATTGAAAGTTACAACACCTATGTGTGATTACATACTACACTAGAAGTGGTTTCTGTCTATTTATTGTTTCATTTCCTGAGGAAATTTTCTTTAAAAAACTAGTGCCACCAGATGGTACTAACGCTGATGTAATCTGAGCCTGTCCTCTAAGAGGCTCTCACCCATGTGAGTTGACATCTTACGGTCAACTCACATGGGTGAGAGCCTCTAATAGGACAGGCTCAGATCTCTAATATTCCCTATTTAAAAACAGACTTACGCTATAGGGTTTTTCTCTTCCTACTTTATATGTTACATCATTGTTCAAACTTTTTAAGTGTTTGGGGTAAGTGTATACCACCTATTTACACTCCACTCCTTTAGTTATCATAGGTTTCAGTAGTGCACACTGTATATTAAAAATTTATATTGCACCAAAAGACCTTCCTTGTAAGTGCCCACTTCCAAGGACTAGAGCATAGATTTTTGCTCTAATTAATTGCCTCAGAGTCTTTTGTGCGAGGCTCCTCCTCTTCTTGGATAGCAGCAATTCCTCAGGGATAAAAATTATAGAAAGATACATAGTGTAATATGTTTTGAGACCAATTAGATTTTTAAAATATATAAAGAACCACTTGCATGCTCCAGAGCCTCCAGTTTAGCTTTTTTTTGTTACCGTGTGTTACAGTATTTGTGAGATGCCTCCCAAGATGGTGAGATGAAGAATGTGCTCCAATGGAAAAAAACATATATATATTCACTGGATAAAAGATGCTAAACTAGACACTATAAAGTGCAAATAGTATAAAATCCACAGACAGAATAACGTACAAGTAACTAGGAGCACTCATATGAAGTACAGCATCCTTTAGAATGTAAGCTCATGGGCTATCTAGCTAAGCACTTTGTATAACAGTGGCTAGTTATCAGCTTATGGGCAGGGCTCTCTCTACCTCTTGTATTTATCTATGTATATTGTATGTCCTCCACTAAGTGTACAGCGCTGCGGAATCTGTTTGCGCTTTATAAATACCAGTAATAAATAAATAAATTAAATAATTATCCCGTCCAAAGTATCTAATATTAGGAAGTGTGATGATATTGAATACTGAGATATGAATGCTTGTGTTCAGATAACACTTTGTTTTAATTAGTGTTTTAAGTAAGGTTCTCCCAGGATTCATCACACTAATTGATTAGCCTAGTGACTTTTCAGGGCAGAGTCCTCTCGAACTTCCATGCACACAGGCATTATGTCTCCACACATTCTCTAGTTGCCTACCACTTAATCATAGGGTTGTGCTTTTTTGCATTCAGCCAAACCTTTGCTATTATCTGATTGGTGTAAGCACCCCAAAGGACAGAGTTACCTTTGTGCACAAACTTTAAAAAGACGACTCTCGGAGGTCACTTACTGATAGCCCCAGGTTAAGGCGCAACATCTTAGCGCCGAAAGGCACGTCGGGCGTACTTTCGCTTTATGATTTTCGTATATAGTTTACTTATGGAGCTGGAAGTCCTTGCATACTGGATGTATACCTATCTATGATGCCCGAGTGCAAACCAGAGCTTTTGATATTAATCCTGATAAAAGTCCTGGAAAAGGACTGAAATGTTGATTCTAATTTTAATGTATACTCTGCTACCCTAAGAATATCTCAACCTTATTTTTGCTAAATTTCTATGAGGTTGCTACTTTCACCCTATTTTTGCTACAGTTATATGAGATTGGTACCTTTACAGAGTGAGTCAATTAGATACTGTGTTTCTAATCTAGCCACAAGATTCAGTCAGATGGAATTTGGCTTTTAATAAGGGATTCTTCAATCCTTTGGTGCCTTTTTTTCTGTTTAAAAACAATACTAATAGTTGCAAAAGTGTAGGAGGATATTGTGGTAGGTAAAAACACTGTGGAGTTTCTTACTTGTTTAAGGGTAACTTACTTGATGTGAGCAAGTCTAAATCTGGAAAAGGAGTACTAGATACAGTAATCTCTAGTGTTTTGTAATGATCTCGGAAACTACTATCTAATTTTCAGAATTAAAATTTTTTCTAGTCATAAAACCCAGTTCTGAAATACACAAGGCCACATCCCCCAAATCTGCATTTTAACCCCAAGCATGTTAGAAAGAGATCCCAACTACTAATCCTTTTTAAATAGTTTTCTTATACTCATTTATATTGACCTTGGCATTCACAATACTTTCCAAATAATTCCAAAATAATATATTATACAGTTCCTAATTGTTAACCTGTTACAACTTTCTGTAGAGAAGCAATGGTTTTGCCCTTGGAACGTATACTAAGTTTTTTAAAGTGCACGTATATCTTCTATTGCTTGCTTTAAATACATTTTCCCACGTGCCTTGGACCAGCTCTTCCAGATTGGCTAATGATTGGCTCATCACTGTCAAATATTAAAATCGCATCACAACTGTAGAAAAGATGGAATACAAGGGACTCATAAATACAGTTTTTAAATTTATTCTATTAAGTTCATCTTGTTTTTCTTGTTTATTGATATATGTAAAAAATAACCTACTGTGATTGTTTTGACATATTTGATTGTACATTCATTTATATTATGTTTCTGTATTAACCTGTTCTTAAATAAATATATTAAAACAAGACAGTTTATAAAACATATAGTTTTATCAATCTTTAAAAACAACCTTAAAGGGACACTTCAAACACCCAGACCACTTCTGTCAACTCCCACTACTCTTAACCCTGCAAGTGTAATCATTGTAGTTTCTTATAAAATGCAATAATTACCTTGCAGGGTTAACACCACCTCTAGTGGCTGTCTACTAGAAAAGAAATAATCCAGGCACAATAACCACTGCAGCTCAGTATAGTAGTTATGGCACCCGTAGTGCCAGGATCCCATCCAAGAGTAAGTAGTCAAACCGTTTAAGAACAGTTTGACAACTTACCTGGGGTCTGCTGGGATATAGGGCATAGGAGTAGTGGTATGTGTGAGCAGTGAAGTATGAGGGCAGCAGTGTACGTCAGGGTTGCAGTGTGTGTGTTAGGGGGCAGTGTATGTGTGGGGCAGTGTGTGTGTGAAAGCTGCAGTGTGAGTGAGAGTTGCAGTGTGTGTGTGTTTGGGGCAGTGTGTGAATGGGGGCAGTGTGGGTTATGGGGGGCAGTGTGTGTAGTGTGTGTATGGGGGCAGTGTGTGTATGGGGGCCATGTGTGTATGGGTGTGCAGTGTGTGTATGGGGAAGGCAGTGTTTGTGGGGCAGTGTGTATGGGGCAGTGTTTGTGGGGCAGTGTGTGTAGTGTGTGTATATGGGGGGCAGTGTTTGTGGGGCAGTGTGTGTAGTGTGTGTGTATGGGGGCAGTGTTTGTGGGGCAGTGTGTGTAGTGTGTGTATGGGTGTATGGGTGGCAGTGTGTGTAGTGTGTGTTGGGGGCAATGTATGGGGGCAGTGTGTGTAGTGTGTGTATGGGGGCAGTGTATGGGGTAGTGTGTGTGTAGTGTGTGTATGTGGGCAGTGTATGGGGGGCAGTGTGTGTGGGGCAGTGTTTGTGGGGCAGTGTTTGTGGGCCAGTGTGTGTATGGGGGCAGTGTTTGTGGGGCAGCGTGTGTATGGGGCAGTGTTTGTGGTGGGGCAGTGTGTGTAGTGTGTGGCAGTGTGTGTAGTGTGTGTATGGGGGCAGTGTATGGGGGGCAGTGTGTGTAGTGTGTGTGTGGGGCAGTGTATGGGGCAGTGTGTGTAGTGTGTGTATGGTGGGCAGTGTATGGGGGGCTGTGTGTGTAGTGTGTGTATGGAGCAATGTATGGGGGGGCAGTGTGTGTAGTGTGTGTATGGGGGCTGTGTATGGGGGGCAGTGTGTCTATTGTGTGTATGGGGGCAGTGTTTGTATGGGGGGAAGGAGGGTAGGGAGGCTTTAAAAAAAAAAATAATAATTAAAATAAATATACTTTATGTCCCTCCTCCCTTCTTACCTTTACTGGGAGGAGGGGGGAAATTTCTCGTTCCCTGGTGGTCTGTGGTGAATGCCTGGTGGTCCCAGTGGTGAGGTGAACTCTAGCCCGTGCTCTTGCCGTGGTAACCGCGGCAACGCTCCATGTTCGCGAGAAGAGGACCCAGAAGAGCTGCAGGTAAAAGCTCCCGGGTCCTCTCTCCTCCATCTCTCTCCCTCCCTGCCGGCTGCCAGCACGGTGCCTGCGGACCGGGGAGGGAGGGAGATCTGTGATCTCTGATCTCCCTCCCCGGTCCGCAGGCACATTGCAGGGCTGGCACTTGGACAATGCCAGCCCTGCACTAGCCGGCAGGGGAGAATCTCGGGGGGGGGCAATTGACCCGTTGCCCCCCCCGGATCTGCCACTGCGTGGGACATGTCGCTGCCTCTGGTAAGTGACTGAAGGGGGTTTTACCCCTTCGGCAACCAGGGATTGGGGGCTGGGAGGGAGAGGGGACCTGCAGTGCCAGGAAAATGATTTTTTTCCTGGCACTGGAGTTTCCCTTTAAAAACATTTAAACTGACAATAATATGATATGTATATGACATATTTGAATGTGCATCTTAGTCCTAGTTTTCAGATGACAAGTCTGTTTTGAATAGAGAGAAAAATAAAACAGTAATTCTTTGGGTTTGGTTGATCAAACAGACTAACAAATCTACAAATAGAAAGTACAAATTGTTCACGTCTTTTATTTTGAACATCTCCACTTTCAGATTGACTGATATGTCATTATTGTGCCCCCCCACAGATTATGACACAGTTTTGTGAAAGTATACTATATTTAACTCTATTCTCATCACATATCCTTTTGCTGTATTTTGGGACACCAGATGTTTTTTGCATTCATCTCTGCCTGTCATGAGCTTGTTTAGAATGCTACACAGTAGGTTTGCACCACAAACAAAAACTGTTTTTCTATCATCTAAGCAAAGCTTCCGTTCTGCTATTTTCCCTTGTTTTATAAGACTGGAATTCTCCTGTGTGTATGAGACACATTCGTTCAGCCTGCTGTATATTATCTGTGGTTTGGCATACCCCTCCCCTGTCATACAAGTGAAGAGATTAGCTTCTTTTAGTCTGACAGATCTTCAAATGCTAGAGACGAACATGTTGCTGACTCCTTTGTCTGAGTTCTTCTGGGGATAGAGGCTTTATTTGAGGAATGAACTTAAGGAAAAACTTAGCTTAGTCCAATTTTAAACAATATTTTGTGCTGGAACAAGAAAAGTGTTTTTGCAAGCTTTTCACATTCTTATGGACTACATCCTTGCTGG